GGTGTTGACGCAATGTGATTTCTGCCCAGTGCTCTGAATGTCAACGTGAAGAGATTCATCAAAGCGCGGGTAAACGGCGGGAGTAACTATGACTCTCTGGCAACCTTGGAGCGAGGCAATCCTGCTTCACCTCGGGTCCGCGACCTTTTTAAAGTTTTACGCGGAAAAACTACTTTCTCGAGGTGTAAAATGGTTCCAGTGTCCTCCGGAATACGTCAGAGTACCGGTGAGGTGCTTTTTTTCCCGACTGGATGTTAATTTTCGCCGAGGTTGAGACTTTTGTGTTCTGCTGGACGCGGCGGCCATGAGCACATTGCCAAGCGCAATCGGATCGCATCGGCGTCAGGACGGCTCTAGGACTGCGGCTACCCATCTCCAGGCGGTCTACTGTTCGACGGTCACGTAAGAGAACCTGTATTTTTCGGGTCCAATGTGATTTTCGGAGCTTTTGGACATCGGCCATTGCAATCTGCACTGCTGCACCCAACTACGCTTCCCGGGCAATCCGGGTGAATCGGCGAGGGGATCGGCGTGGGACGGTGGTGTCAGCCTGAAAAGTGTGCCTTGGAAGGCAAGGATTGTTGGCCGAGAAGTATTTTTTGTCCACTTTGGCCCGTTTTTTGGTGGTATCTTTGCACTTGTTGTGCACAGATGCAGTGCAATACCAGCCGGCAGATCGGAAGTGTGAGGCAGCGGCTGCCGTGTAGAAATGTTGGTTTTGCGAGTTCGTGAAGTGCTCAGTCGTCGTTCGGAATGTGCCGTGAGACCTACTCAAGATCTATTTTCCGGGTGTGTCCACTATCCTGCCCGGTGCAAGGGATTGTCGCCTGGTTGAAAGCAGTGCCCGTGACCTTCTTGGCAGAAGCAGGCTACATCGGCATCGTCCCGGCTCTTGGACCGGGAACCTGCATCTCACGGTGCTCTACTTACTTGCTGCTGTTTCGGAGAGACAGCTTTTTGTCTCTGCGGGGGCTCTTTAGGGTGTTTGGCCCTGTTCTCAAGGTGCGGTGGGATAGGGCAATTTTTATTTGTCCTCAGCAGTGAAACACTTTTAGCTCCGCCAGTGAGTGAATGATAGGTGTGTGAGTGTGTGTGGGTTTTGATTTTTTTGTGTTTTTAACCGTACTTATAGTCTGCTTTTTATATATATATTTTTTTATTGTGATGAGTGTGTAAGTGTGTGTTATTTTATTTTTTTGTCATTATTTTTTTTCTCTTTTATCTCTTTTTTCTTCAATTGTTTTTATAGTCTTTTTTTACTTTCGCTTAGAAGTATATGGTCCTTTTGACTCTTTTTGCAGTGCTTTCTTAGCGTGTGTAGATGTATATTGCCATTTTGTTTAGCTTTCATTTGGGGCATTATGATGTAGTGTGGGGCTAGCATACTGATGGAATCATTGTTGGAATGATTCGTGTGATGTTTTAGGTGTGGAGACGGGAGTTTGATTTCGAAACCAATTATTGACCACTCCGTGTTGGATCAACATGGATGCTCCCGATGTTGGCATGGTGGCCTGCCCGAATTGCGGCAAGCATTACAAGATTAAGGGCCTGGCAAGCCATAGGCGTAAATGTGATAAAGTTAGTTTGAACAATGAAATTGTAATTACGAAGACGAAACCGCACTGGAGTGCGGAGGAGTCCTTTTTTTTGGCAAGGTCGGAGGCGGATGCCCTACTTAGGGGTGTGAGACCGGTAAAAATTAACTCAGTCCTTTATCAGCTGCATCCAAACCGTAGTGAGGAGGCAGTGAAAGGGCAACGTAGAAAGAAAGAACATAAAGAGCTCGTTATTAAATTGGTTCAGGAGGGACATGATAAATCAAATGCCACGGATTATTCGGATGCTCCTGAGGCGGAGGAGGTGGAATCTGCGGCAGGGTGTGGAGGGGAGGAGATAAGCGGATTACGTGAACTGCCAAACGACTCCAACCCACTTGGTGGATCGGCCGAGGAGGGGCCGTTTGAGGGAAAGAGACGTCTCGAGGAATGGTTAAGAAATAGTATAAAGTCCGGTACATCTCGGGAAGAGAAGGGTCTGAACCATGTTATTTTACTTGCACTGAGAGGTGAGCCATTCGCCACCGACCTTGACCGTGTTTTGGCGGGTTACGAACATGTGCCTACGGATAGGAATGAACCGGGACCGGGTGAACGGCTAAGCAATCGGCAGGCACGACGGAAAGAGTACAGGGAGATTCAGAACCTTTATGAAAAGAATCGGAAGGTTTGTGCTCAAAGAATTCTTGACGGACCCAAGGAAGCTGGTTTGGAGGCGGGAGGGCTGTTAGATTTTTGGTACAATATCATGAGCAGAGACGACAGTGAGGACTCTGCTGCGGACTGCAGCAGGCATCTCCCTGATACTACTGTGACACCTCTAACAGAGGCAGAGGTGAAGGATGCCCTCCCGACCCATTCTTCGGCACCTGGACCGGATGGCTTGACTGTTAAAGAGATTAAGTCTCTTCCGCTGTCGTTTCTAACAAAGCTGTTTAACCTTTTTTTGTACTGGGAAAGGGCACCCGTTAAGTTGGTGGTGGCCCGTACTATCTTTATCCCAAAAGGTGAATGTTCCTCGGATCCTGCGGATTTCCGGCCGATAACCATTGGCTCTCTTTTTTTACGTGTTTTTCATAAGGTTTTAGAGAGAAGGCTTCGGCAGATCATTGTCTTGCGCACTGAACAGAGAGCCTTCTGTGCAACGGATGGATGCTTTGAAAATATTCATCTATTAAGCTCGTTGTTAAAGACAGCTCACTCGATGGGGCGGAGTCTGTTCCTGGCGAACATAGATCTGCGTAAGGCCTTCGACAGCGCAACACATCGAAGTATTATCAATGCTCTAGCTAAGCATAACCAAGTTGGGTCCACTGTTGTAAACTATCTAAAATGGTTTTATAAAAATTCCACAACGAACCTCACACACGGCTCTGCTTCTAGGGCCGTGAGACCAAGAAGAGGTGTTAGGCAGGGCGATCCTCTATCGCCGCTCCTATTTAATCTAGTAATAGATGAATTTCTCTCGGAAATTCCAGAGGAGTTCGGGGTTAAATTGGGAGAACGCAAGTGCGCTGCACTTGCGTTCGCGGATGACCTGGTTTTGATTGCAGAGACAGAGAGAGGGTTGCAGTACCTGTTGGACAGTTTTGGTGTCTTCTTGGAGGAGAGAGGATTCGAAATTAATTTCTCTAAGTCTTCAACTCTGAGTTTGATTGGTGATGGGAAGAATAAAAGGGCGAAAATAGTCCCAATGTGTTTTTCGGCACAAGGTAATGCACTGCCAACTTTGGGGGTCTCTGACACCTGGGCCTACCTTGGGGTTATTTTTGACACTGATGGGAACGTTAATTGTTCGGATGTTGATCTGGCAAAATTATCACATAATTTAGGAAAGGCCCCGCTTAAGCCACAACAAAAACTGATTATTTTAACTTTTTACCTCATTCCTCGTCTTATCTACCAATTGGTTGTGTGTGCCAGATCTAGGGTCTTCCTGAGGAAGATTGACAGGAAAATTCGAGCCGCGGTCAGAGACTTCCTCCACCTTCCGCTCGATACTCCAATAGCTTTCTTTTATGCAACAGTTGACGATGGGGGGCTGGGAGTTCACTGTATGGAAACTATGATACCCCGCGTCCGATACAGCCGACTACTTGCTGTTGAGGCAAAGGAAGATTGTATGCTGGAAAATTTGGTAGCTTCGAAGGCGTGGGTGGAGATGGTTGAAAAAGCTAGAAAGGCGATGCAATTTAATGGTATTTTTATGGAGACTAAAATTCAGGTTCGGGACTATTGGAGGAACGTTTTGTTAAAGATGGTGGATGGTCGAGGACTACGGGAGGCGAGATTGGCTGTTAGGGCAACATGGGTGCGGGACCCTCCTAGATACCTTTCCGTTAGGGAGTACGTGCATTTGATTAAACTCAGAATACACGCGCTCCCGACGAAGTCTAGGTGTGCTAGGGGGCGAGCCAAGGACTTAAGATGTCGTGCAGGGTGTGTCGTTAATGAAACGCACACCCACGTGATACAAATATGCCCTCGAACTTACTCTGCACGGCTCAAAAGGCATAATGAGGTCGTTGCATGGTTTAGGCGGAAGGCAGAAAGAGAATCTTTCATTTCTACGGAAGAGCCTCGTGTTAAAGTCGGTGACGAAATTCTAAAGCCTGATTTAGTTTTAGTTAAAGACAGGAGGGCACTAGTTGTCGATGCCCAGGTGGTGGGGGAGTACAAACCCTTAAACTCTTTAGATGCATACAAAATACGAAAATATTCGAAACCTGCATTTATTGATAAAGTAAAAGAAACCTTTGAGGTTTCACGTGTTGATGTCTACGCAATCACAACCTCAGAACGTGGTATAGTTAGTTCTAATTCGGCAAACTTTTTGAACTCGGTCGGAGTATCTAAGAGGGAGGTCGCCTACCTTGGCCAGTTGGTGGCCAGAGGTACGCTTAAATGCTTTTACCACTTTATGCGTGGTACCCAACGTGGTTTTTAAACTTACGACGATATGAACTTCGATAGTTTTTTTTTTCTCTCATGTTGACTTGCAATTGTTTAATGATGCATACGTGTGGATGTAAAAAACTTTTTGCGCGAAAGTGTTTATCTTGTGTGCCCGCCCGCCCGTAAGGGGCGTCTGCCATGCCGGCATTTTTAATGTTTAAGCTTTCCCTGAAAAAAGCGAATGTGTTGATCAGTGTGTCAATAAACAAGACTAGCCAAATGCCTCGTCATCTAATTAGTGACGCGCATGAATGGATTAACGAGATTCCCACTGTCCCTATCTATATACGCGGCAAGGTGTACTCCTACGCGGATGCCCTTATGGGTCGCGTGGGAGAAGGAACAAAAACAGCTCCGCTTCCGGCAGCACAGGCCGCGGCACCACAGCCTGAAGAAACGGGGCCAACGATCACCGGGCGCCCGAAACACGCTTTGCTAATCTACCTTCGAACGCCGTCCACAAGCGCATCAAACGATATCAAAGTGATGTTAAAAAAATACTTCAACCCGCACACCTTGGGTTTGACGGATGTCTCTCTGCGAACGATCCGAGACGGAATTGCGGTACAGTCTAACACCGCCAACGATCTCGAGCTCTTGTGCACCGCGATCGAGGAGCACCCGAGCACCCGAGACGTGTTCGTTCTGCGTAAGCCCAACAAACGCAGTCCGCAGTTCAGGGTGTCTGGAGTAGATCCGGACATTCTGCCTGCGGAGTTGCTAACAACGATTAATACGCAGAACGAGGGGTTGCGTAATTACAATTTCATTGTTCAAACTTTGCGTAAAGGACGTACTGCCAGGACAGTACAACAAGCATTTTGAGCTCTTTGTGTCTGCTCTGTACATGTTAACCAAGACAGTGGTACTAAAAGAAGACGTTGACGTCAGCACAGAGAAGATGACAGAATTCGTAGTGATGACAGAATGCCTGTACTGTAAGGCGCAGATGACCTCTCACCTCCATACTCTGCTGCACCTTCCGAAGGCTGTGCTGCTTCACGGGCCTTTGTGGGCACTCTCGTGCTTCCCGTTCGAAAGCAATATGGGTCATCTCCTGAAGCTTGTTTCTTCATCGAATGGTGTGCCCTTTCAGATTTTGTCGCGCAATAGCTTCTTCGAGCTAAAATCTATGGCCTCAGACGAAGTGCATGCACACCTGTCATTGAAGAAACGTGAAAAGCCAGCTGACTTTCATCTTTTCGGTAAGCCAAGACAGCCGCCTCAGTATCTCTCTGAACTCGTTGAGGAGCTGGCCTCAGCACAGGAACTTTCTGAGTATGATCGTGTGCGTGTTGCTGGACACACGCTCCACAGTACCCAGTACAGGCTTCCGTCGGAGCGAGATTCGACGGTTCTTAGGCTGGGGAATGAGTACATAAGGGCAGAACACATAATCTCTGCAAGTGGTGACGATGGGAGCCAAAGCGTGTACATCGTGTCGTATGTCTACGACGTGTCCAATTTTGGAAATGTGAAGCACCTTAAGCTTGCCACAAAGCAAACCACTAAGAAAGTACACAAGCTTCGTGGTAATGCAACTCCATGTATGTTTTTAGATGTCGATGGTGCTGTCATTTTTGCACAGCTGTGTAACAGGTACGAGTGGTCGTAGATTGTCCAACACTGTTCCAAATGAGTTTGACGTAGCATGCAGTTTTTGGTTTGAGTTTCCGGTTGTAACCTTAAATTGGCACTGAAGTCATTTCTGAAAAAGGTAGTTTTTGATCTTATATTATTTAAAATTTGTTAGTTCCCACATATACCAAGTCCTATATTACAGACCTGCCTATTTACCTCGGGGCAATAGAAAAACATGTGGATTTTTTTTTTCACGGACTACATCGTGAGGACCGATGGAAGTTTAACAACACGTGCAGATTCTGGATGATTTTATTATAACTCATTTCGAAGACAGTCTGATAGGTACATATTCAGATAAGACTCCTCTTTTTCACTGCGAGCGAGGCCATTGCTTGCAACTCGCCGGCAAGTGCCCTTCGTCGACCACTTCACTCGGAAGAGAATTCTTCCCAAAAAGGGTGTGTCGCAATTTTTGAACATGCTTTTAGCGAGGAAATAAGCTATGCACGATTGTAATTTCGGGTTTGTTAGATGCTTAGAGCGTCTAGATTGAGTTGTCACCACAAAAGTTTGATCTGAGAATCGACTTCAGTGCCCCTATAATTTTCCTCTTAGGCCGGCAGTTCCACAGCCACAGTCTTTATTGTTGGTGTTTAACGTTTTATTTTTTATGGTGCTTAGAAAGTAGCTGCAGAGCTGTTGTTTTGGAGGCATTTATTTAATATTGGTGGGTAAATTACAACCAAACTTTAAAAGTCAAACCAACGACGTGCCAAACCAACGACGGGCATCTGGCACGCCCAAGCGGATGACTGAGGATTAATTTCGACAACCTGGGGATCTTTTGACGTGCAACCAACCAAACTTTGTTGACATAACTAATTTACGTGAATTTACCCACCGATATTAAAAACATACCTACAAAACAACAGCTTTGTAGCTATTTCCTATGCTCCTCCGAAAATAAAACCTTAAAAGCTAGCATTAAAGAATGTGGGCGTGTGACCGCCACCTTATGTAAACGCAAAACTGCAGACACTGTGTATTGTTATTTTATCCTGTATTTGTTGTTTTGCAACCAATTTTTTGCATATTTCATTATTCAGACTATGCTAAAGGTGTTAGGTTTTGTTGTGCAAATTGTGTGTACAGATTTGTTTTTGACTTTCTTTAAATTCCTGAACACTTTTTTTCTGTATTCATTTTTTTAGTCTTTGTAGGAGACAGCGTTATTTGTAACCAAATAAATCAATGACTATCATATTGAATTGTCCATCCTTCATTAATGTGCTTTGCACAAAGGCACTTTCATTAATGAATTAGATGGTCCTTCAAACTGCAACTGAAACAAGTAGAATGAGCAGTGTTTTGTTATTTTTGCACAGCCTTTGCTCATGGTCCTCTTTAGGGTGCAACAGGTAGCATTAGTTTTTTTTTTGGCACATAAATTTATTTTCTGCAGTTTTTGGATTCAATCCATATGTTTTTTATAACAGTTTCTTGCATGTATGTATATTTTTATATCCTGACTTCAATGATAGTACATAGAAAAAGCTAAAGCTGACATCTCAGTACAACATAGAAGTTTGCTCTTCAGGGTTTAAAGCTTGAACAATAGCGTCTGAAGTATTCGCAAGGTGGAGGGCTGAGCTCTACCCCACCCGCTCCCCACATTGTTTACTATAGACCAACACGCGGCTCTGACGTCATGCACCTGCGGTGGCGCTGTCGACAGCACTGCGCATGCGCAGACGCTTCACTTAACGCGAATTCGATTTCTGCGCACGCGCAGTGCCCACACCTGGTGTGGGCAAACGCGCGCTTGTTTGTAAGCAGCGTGCCGGTCTATAGTTGTTTGGAATCTCTGGGAGACTAGACGCCATCCCCTGTTCCCACACCACTGACATTATGTTTTTAAGGCAAACTTGCTCCACTGACAGGAAGCGTTAAGTTTAAAACTTGCATTCAGAATGCCCATAGATTGCACAATACAAACCTATAGATGTGTTCTTTTCTCTAAAAACATGCACAATTTCTCCCTTAAAAATGCAAAAGTATGTCAAGAATAGCAGGAGCGTGGAGAGGAGGAAACCACCTCTTCTTACCATAGTTGGTGGTTTGTTCCTCTCCTCCTCTCCAGCACTCACTATTGTTTTTTCTTCTAAGCATTGATTTAAGTGGAAAGGTGGCAATTGGACAGTTGTAGGGAACCCTAGAAACACCTAATAGAGGTATTTGGAACAGGGTATGCTTTGCTTGCTTCTTTTTTCGGTCCTTCAAAGAACAGTCATTCACAACACTCCCCAGTGCCATGATGGGGGAAGTGCATTATCACATGGTATATTTTTGTATTTCGCCTGCATTTTTTCAAGGCTGGAGAAAAGCATGCAAGGTGACTCATGCTGCAAATAAGTTAAGGTATTGCTGTTGTTCTGTATCGGGTATTTCTTAATTTCCTTAAACACTTTCCAATTGACATCTTTACCCTTAAATAAATATTTAGAAAGTTAGACAATTACCTTTAAATAATTAAATAGACTCAAAAAGTTACTGGCCTTTGGGCAACGTGCATGCTAACAACATACAGTTGATTCCATTCGCCAGAGCACTTTGTCTTTTTCAATGACTGGTTCATGATAATGGAAACACACTGTATATAGTTAAGAGGTACAAAAGGGGGGCAAAGTCGGAATGGTCTTGTAGTGCAACTGGGACCAGTTCAGTCAAAGTGGTATTCTCAAATCAAAGTGGTTTTCTAAACTTGGACACTCGGGACTCTAAGTGGGACCACTTAGATTCAAGTGGTGGGGAGCAAGTGGGCTATTTCAACCCAAGTGGGACCACTTGGAAGTAAAATGGGACCACTTGCTCACAAGTTGGAGCACTTTTAAACCACTTCAGATTTTCACCTGGGACCGGACAGCGCAAGCACCGCACTGCTCTACGGAGCCCCCATCCCTATCTCGGGGCGAACCCATTCCAGGGACTCGATCTCCTTACAGAGAAAAGAAAACTCTTCACGGGGCTCGCATCGGCGTCTCCGAGCTGGTTTGCGTTACCGCACTGGGCCCCGAAGGACCAATCTCCGTGTCCGGGTTCGGGATTATTAACCCGATTCCCTATCGGTCACTGCGGGGCTCTCTCCACTGCAAAAAAGTGCTCCCGCTTCGGAAAGAACTTCTCCTTTCCCTTAGGACCGACTGACCCATGTTCAACTGCTGTTCACATGGAATCCTTCTCCACTTCAGTCCTCAAGGTTCTCACTTGAGTATTTGCTACTACCACCAAGATTGCACCAGACGGGGGCTCCAGGCGGGCTTACGCCGGACACCTTCAACGCTCACCGCAGCGGCCCTCCTACTCGCTGCAGCTTAGCACCCCCTTGTTTGCGTGCATCTGCCGGCAGCGGCCGGGGATAGGCTCGACACTAGAGCGCCATCCATTTTCGGGGCTAGTTGCTTCGGCAGGTGAGTTGTTACACACTCCTTAGCGGGTTCCGACTTCCATGGCCACCGTCCTGCTGTCTTAAGCAACCAACACCCTTCATGGGATCTCATGAGCGTCCCGCATCGGGCGCCTTACCCCGGCGTTTGGTTCATCCCACAGCGCCAGTTCTGCTTACCAAAAGTGGCCCACTTGGCACTCTCATCGCTTCCGGAGGCCTCAGACCAGAAGGCCTCCGACACACCCATTGAAAGTTTGAGAATAGGTTGAGGTCGTTTCGACCCCAATGCCTCTAATCATTCGCTTTACCAGGTGTGACTGGTCTTGGCAACAAGCGCCAGCTATCCTGAGGGAAACTTTGGAGGGAACCAGCTACTAGATGGTTCGATTAATCTTTCGCCCCTATACCTGGGTCGGACGATCGATTTGCACGTCAGAAGCGCTTCGGACCTCCACCAGAGTTTCCTCTGGCCTCGTCCTGCCCGGGCATAGTTCACCATCTTTCGGGTGCCAACGTGTGCGCTTTAGCGCCGCCCCCACGACGTGAGCGTGTGGGGCGGGACGTTGCTGCTCCCTTTATAGGACCCCTGGGCTGCCCGGGATCGCAACTCGGCACGGCACGAGGCCGCGCCTTCACGTTTCATTGCGCCTCTTGGTTTTGAGGGACCCATTGACTCGCGCACATGTTAGACTCCTTGGTCCGTGTTTCAAGACGGGTCGGGTGGGTTACCGACCTACTCGCCGCCAACCATGACGACCCTCCGCGGAAAGAACCCGCCTCGCCGGTTCCGAGCCCAACACCGAACGTCAGGCGAATACCTTGCGTAAGGCAGGGGACCCGTTGACCCAGCCGGGTTTCCCGCTCCGCATTCGGAGGGCACCGTTTCGGGCCTCCCCGAAGGGAGTAGCCCATGAGGCCTGGGCAGGGTGACGTACTCGATTACCGGCCAGGTATAACTCCCACGACAGCCAAAAAAGGGCCGTCGCCGGTCACCTCCAGCGGCCGGAATCAAAGTCGTTCTTGAAAGGGTTACCCGTGCCCGTCGCGGCGTCCTACCGACGGTGGAAAATGCGTTCCGGAGTGCGCGCCACCGCGCGGGCAGCCGGAACGGGCCCCCACAAGGAGAGCCCGTAAACCAGGACGCTGACACCGCTCCACGTCACAGTGAAACTGAATCCCACCGCCCTCGAGCTTCGAGGGCCCACCCGTTTTACTCTAAGCGGTTTCACGTACTCTTGAACTCTCTCTTCAAAGTTTTTTTCAACTTTCACTCACGGTACTTGTGAACTATCGGTCTCTCGGACGTATTTAGCCTTAGACGGAGTTTACCACCCAATTAGGGCTGCACTCTCAAGCAACCCGACTCACGGGAGGTTCCATTCCGAGAGAGCAGTGGCGGAGACGGGCCTGCCACACACTCTGGGTCAAACATCTGTCAGGGGGACTTGCACCACCGAAACACTCTCGGGAACGTTACCTCTCATACACCACATTTCCCGATCGCCGGCAAGGACGAGGGATTCGATGCTGGGCTAGGTCCCGTTTCGCTCGCCGCTACTAAGGGAATCCCTGTTGGTTTCTTTTCCTCCGCTTAGTGATATGCTTAAATTCAGCGGGTTGTCTCGCCTGATGTGAGGTCGACAATCTTTTTTATTTGTGCGCTTTCCAACAAAAACTTCGCCTCCTTACCACATGACAAAAACAAAAGGATGGCGAACTAACAGTTGTTGTACACACGCTTTGCATCGCTTTCGATTCGACAAAAAAGAAAGCGCGCAATCCAACGGCATTCCCCTACTGGATGGCTCCAGTACTCATCGGGGACGCGAAGGTCTTAGACTGACGGAAGGCTACGACGCAAAAAAACTTTCCTCCCAGGAGCGTTTTTCTTTTTCCTCCCTCGAGCAACAAGGGTGTGCAAATCAACGCCACGAGATTTACATTTGCGGACGCCGCGTTTCAACGCGCCAACGCCAACTCCGTCCCACGGTTTTCCCACTCGAACAACATCCACGCCAAAAAAAAAGAAAACAGAATCGATCGAAAAGCAAGCGTTTCAATCTCCGTTTCTAACGCACCGACGTCACAGCGCCGTTCAACGTGCGAAAGATTTTTTGGTACGGGATTTTCCACAAACGGTATCCATCGAGTTTCGTTTTGCCATGCAGTGTTCGATAAAAAATTGTAGGAGGAGGATGACTGGTTAGCGCACGCGTGCATCGCACCACTCGTGCATTTGCTCAAAGAAAACGCAACGCAAGAAAGCATTAAACTGCGTGCTGCCCACGATCCGACACAGTCAAAACGAGGCAGTAAACAAATTCTACTCTCTTGATATATGATCCGACCCTCACACAGACGAAGCCACGGGAAGGCCCGAGGCCGCAATGTGCGTTCAAAGAGTAAGTGCTCAGTGTGTCCTGCAATTCACACCAAGTCTCGCAGCTGGCTGCGTTCTTCATCGACCCGAGAACCGAGTGATCCACCGCTTAGAGTCGTTTCAATGGTTTTGGTTTTTTCAATCAGTACGACAAAACAAACAGTTTTCGTTTCTTTTTTTCGCGTTCAAATATTCAGAACAAATATTCAATCAAAACCGAAATCGAAACCGAAACCGAAACCTCGAGATCAGCTAAGCCCAACACCCGTTGGAAACCAATACGAAACCGAAACGCCACACAAATTACTCTATATCTCGAAAACCATTGATCCTAGAGGGAAAATAAGGGCAC